GGGCCTGACCACCCGATTCCATTAGTCGCCTAGTATGACAAGCATGGGCTACTGATGACCAATTCTAACCAGGAATTTCACGGGTCTATTTATGGAGGATATGTGTCGCCAGTATCATTTGTTTCATGAGTTTTAGAAGATACAATGTGTTGATTCTAGTTTACTGGTATCAGATCAGAACTAGCATCAAGTATAATACATGGCAATAAACAATACTGACCCAATTCCTTTTTGGCACAAGGAGCTGACAAATAACTGAACTTTTCAGATAATTGATGATCTTGTCTGACATTAACTATTCAAAGCGAAGAGAGTCCTGTAATCCCAACATCCAGAAACAAATCCTGAGGAGTAACTATTCTGATCAAAATTACAGTCTTGTCGTCTTCTATTGAGTTGCATCTAGCAGTTCGACTTGGTGGTACTGGACAGTCTAAACTTAGGCTCAGTACTATTCTTTAACCAATCGATCAATGACAACTTATATATATATATATATATATATATATATATACATATATATATATACTCTTAGGGGTTTCTAATAACATGGTTACTATTAGCTTATATTTCCGCAAAATGACATCCTTGAATACTGACAACAACGCTATTTTCAGCGACAGTTTACTCATTGCGTCCTCCATGTGCATCACTCGGAAGCGATCGTGCTGAAAATAACATTCGGAATGGTTCTAGTTTTTGAGGTAAAGGTTCAAACGGTATGTGCGAATGTTAACGTTCGCGATTTGGTAAGATGTGTTCTGATTGGTCAGTCCAAAAGGTTAGCTGACGCGACCTTCTACTAGGGTTTGTTAGACTCAGTATAGCAGTGTAACGAATAATACTGAGCCTAAATTTACATAGACTGTGGTACAGGAGTACAAATCTAGCAGTTCGACTTGGTGGTACTGGACAGTCTAAGTAAACTTAGGCTCAGTATTATTCTTGAACCAATCAGACAATGACTACTTATTCGGGGATTTTCTCTTCCCTGGTCGCTGACACTGATCTATCAACAAACGAAACTCCGCACTAAAACACAGATATTTGACCTGCAGTTTATATATACATGTATATATATACGCTCAGCGGTTTCTAATCATATGGTTACTAGTAGCTTATATTTCCGCAAGATGACATAAACGCTATGTTCAGTGACAGTTTACTCATTGCGCGCTTCATGTGCATCACTCGGAAGCGATCGTGCTGAAAATAACATTCGGAATGGTTCTAGTTTTTGAGGTAAAGGTTCAAACGGTATGTGCGAATGTTAACGTTCGCGATTTGGTAAGATGTGTTCTGATTGGTCAGTCCAAAAGGTTAGCTGACGCGGCCTTCTACTAGGGTTTGTTAGACTCAGTATAGCATTGTAATGAATAATACTGAGCCTAAGTTTACTTAGACTGTGGTACAGGAGTACAAATCACCCAATAGAGAGATATAAGCGAGTTACGGCACGTCGTACTTCCGGTGACAAACAACGTTTCATACCTTGGTCTCATGGTTGTCAGGTGACAGTAAAGAACCGATAATCCATGCAGGAAAAACACATTTCTGATCTAACCATTCCCACATTAGCCAACTATATATTACGACTGTCAACAGCTGTGACAGCCAAGCATGGTTGTACACTTGGTCCGGTCTAGTAAAGTCATATTTGGCGTTCGCGCAATTTGGAACCAGAACTGGTTCTTGAATATACGCCTGTCACCGGAAATCTGGTACCGGAAGTAAACTGGGCCCCGTCTCGCATATCGCAAGTTGGCGCGCACAAAGGGAGCCGGGAACCAGCTTAATGCCGGAAGTAGCGCCTCGCAAGACTTACACAGGACCTATGGCATGTTCCAAGTCGTTGCTTCATATTGCATGTGAGAACCAACCCTAAGTACGACAATATGTTGCACTGCTTGGACACATCAAAGTCATGTTCCTAGAAAGTATGTAGAAACAGTGTCCAACAAGACAATTACATTTTTCAACACATAATTAAATAAAACACTTCGTAAGATTGAACCTGTACATGTTTTCTGAACCACGCATGCGCACTGTGTGTACATGTCGGCATGTGGTTCTGCCGCCAAAGGACCGCCTCAGTGGTGTAGTGGTTAGAGCGTCCGCCTGGAGAGCGGAAGGTCGCGGGTTCGATCCCTGACCGCGTCATACCAAATGACGTTAAAATATTGTACTTGTTGGTTCCTGCCTGGCGCTCGGCATTAATGGGTTCAACAAGGACTGGTCGACTCGGAGTCAGTATAATGTGTCTGAGTGGGGTATTCCTGCTTCACTGCGGCATGGTATCTCAGTGGGCTAGCACTATAAAACCAGCTTCAGTCTGGGCTAGTACAAGCAGCCGCACATACACATACACACGCATGCACGTCGTCATATGAGCGAAATATTCTCAAGCACGACGTTAAACCCAATTTCACCTCACCTCACCTCTGCCGCCAAAGTGAAAATCCATGCCCGCTCAATACAAAACAGACAGTACTGTAACTTAGTTAATCATCGGTAATTATAATCACAGCTTCACACCTCACATTTAAGTTTATAGAGTATGACAGAAAATGAAAAAGAACATGAAATAGATAAATATATGTGAATAAATACCGTTTGGACAAGTCTGACAGCACTGTCCCGGTTTCCGAACAGGGTCGACGCAGAGTGAAGGGAAGAAGCAGTCTATAGCCAGACAAGACATCCGGCCACCCTGCATGCACGTGCAGGGCATGCACGCGCTCTCGGTTCTTTCACCAATCTGGTAAGTCTTAGTTTGATACACACATTTGTCAGCTGCAGAAGTGATGCAGACTCGGAGCAGACGACGAGCGCCAGGAATATGGCAGATGACACGACTGTTCCGATCATTGCGGCAGAAGTGACCCGGAATATTGAGACGTTTACTTTATAGTAGTGTTTCTTATCTGTAGACCTATCAGGTGATTAACTTGGCGACCTTTAGAAGATCAGATAAAATGAATCAGGTGAAACCTTAGCCTGTGTCCCCACCCTTGAAAACATATTTAATGTGAGTCTTATTTAAGTCTAGAATGATTTAGCAAGTCTAGATTGCTTCAGCTCTAGGCCTGAATTTAAGATTGTTATGGGCTTTTTTATTCTTTAAAAACTATTTTTCCAGATCTGAGCTGTTAGACGAGAGGCAATATCGACCTCAATACCATGTGGTCATCTAATAATATTCCCTCGAACCCCTTTCCATACTGATGCTGATGGGGCGGTGGGGAAGCCTAGTGTTTCAAGCGTTCGCTCGTCACGCCAAAGACCCGGGTTCGATTCCCCACATGGCTACAATATGTGAAGCCCATATCTGGTGTCCTCAGCCGTGATATTGCTTGAATATTGCTAAAAGCGGCGTAAAACTAAATTCACTCTAATGCTGATGAAAGGTTATTATCTGCTTGATCTTCAGATAATGTTGTTTTCCATGTGTACGAAATGTACTATCGTAGAATATTGTTTTCGCTTTAAATGTGTAAAATGCATTGAGATATTTGCATTACATGCACGTTTGTGGAGAAGACTACTACGGCATCGAGCATACGACTTCTCCTTGATGTTGCAAGATTCTTCACGGTATTAATGTCACTACTTCCAAGGGGCGGTGGGGTAGCCTAGTGGTTAAAGCGTTCGCTCGTCACGCCGAAGACCCGGGTTCGATTCCCCACATGGGCAAAATGTGTGAAGCCCATTTCTGGTGTCCCCTGCCGTGATATTGCTGGAATATTGCTAAAAGCGGCATAAAATCAAACTCACTCACTCACTCACTCACTGCTTCCAAATCTTATTAACACATACTTATGCTTGTCGTAAAAAACGATTAACAGGATCGGGTAGCCAGGCGCACCCCAAAGGTTGATGTATACCATCGTATCCCTATTGCGTAAATAGATACTCATGATGTCATCACTGGATTGTTTGGTCCACGCTCGAATATTTACAGACTCCATATAGTGTGATGTTGCTGAGGCGGCGTTAAACAACAAACAAACAAACAAACAAACTAATCTATCCGAACACTTACTCTGTTGTCAGTGGATACATCAGAAATGGGTTCTGCCCTCGAAATCATGCGGGCGGTGGAGACGCCTAGTGGTTAAAGCGTTCGCTCGTCACGCCGAAAACCCAGGTTCGATTCCCTACATCGGTACAGTGTGTGAAGCCCATTACTGGTGCCCCCCCCCCCCCCCGTGATATTGCTGGTGTATTGCTAAGAATCGGCGTAAAACTAAATTCACTCACTTGAAATCCTGCAGATTAGTAATTTCAAATAGGTATGAATGGATGATTGGAAATCGAGGAAAGTATAAGGCCACTCTTATTTAGGTGGTGTGTTGTCATGTGCATATAGCTCCTGGTCCCAAATCACTTGAAGGTAGGCAACGTTGGTCACGGAAGACCTAGGATGGGTGACTGGTTTGGCAGCTTAACTCCTGAGAGATTCTAGGATGCTCATGTCCTACCAAGCACTCGTAACGCGTTGTCTCACCTCAAGTACTTGCCTCTCTTCGCCCAGCAGAATGTGGGTACCCGATGGGATAAGGCATATGACTATTACTCTTTTATCACTTCACATGCATATTGGTTTATCCGGGGTAAACATGTCTATGGTATAGTATGCGCTTAGAGTTCAGCGCCAGATGTGTTGCCTTATTATTGTTACACAAGCTCAATTAGGACTATATCTGTGCCATCTCTTATTTTCTCGATAAAATAGACCCATGAGAGTTCAGCGCCAGATGAGTTGCCTTATTATTGTTACAAAAACTCAATAAGGACTATATCTCTGTCATCTCCCATTTCCTTGATGGAATAGACCCCAAAACAGACTTTCGACAGGTTAGGAGTATAAAGATATATTTTGCAAAGGTAATTATTTGCCTTGACACCGGTTAGCGTTTTCACTCCGGAAGCCATATCTTCCTTATAATTATTTTATCCTAGCATTATTTAAACACATGCTGACATAATTCATGGAGTCCAGTCACCTGATCAATTCCTGATAAGAGATTTGAGATTCCCTCCTATATAGGCTATCAGTCCGAGTAGAAGAAGACACATTTGCTGTGGACTGACTCTATGATGGCAATTAGGTTAGCTGTCTGTACCCTTTTTGGGGGGCTCTTCTCCTTTATAATAGAGGGTGCAGTGATCAGCCATGAGAATGGATGTGTAGTCAACGGGGTCACTTACAAGGAAGGGGAACGCGTAAATAAGAACCCATGTTCCCCCTGCACGTGTAGTCAAGGCAGGATGATGTGCATGGCCATTGATTGTGCTCCTCCGATGTGCGTCAACCCTGTACGGAAACCAAACCATTGCTGTGGGACTTGTCCAGATGGTGAGTGATGTGGCATTGCTCGGTATGTGTGACGTGTCATTGTTCAGTAGTACGTGTGACGTGTTATTGTTCAGTACGTGTGACGTGTTATTATACAGTACGTGTGACGTGTCATTGTTCAGTACGTGTGACGTGTTATTATACAGTACGTGTGACGTGTTATTGTACAGCACGTGTGACAGGTCATTGTCCAGTACCTGTGGCGTGGCATTGTACAGTACTTGTGACGTGGCTTTATTCAGTACGTGTGACGTGTCATTGTTCAGTACGTGTGACAAGTCATTGTTCAGTACATGAGACGTGTCATTATTCAGTAGGTGTGACATGTAATTGTTCAATACGTGTGACGAGTCATTGTTCAGTACGTGTGACGAGTCATTGTTCAGTACTCGTGGCGTGGCATTGTTCAGTACGTGCAACGGGTCATTGTTCAGTACATGAGACGTGTCATTGTTCAGTAGGTGTCACATGTCATTGTTCAGTACGTCTGACGAGTCATTGTTCAGTACGTGTGACGTGCAATCGTTCAGCACGTGTCACGTGCCATCGTTCAGTACAATTTACGTGCCGGTGTCCAGTAAGTGTGTTTGATACATGTGAAATGATATGTTTAGTATGTGTGACGAAAGACTGGATATCCCCCTATTGCTAGCAGTATTCACTATACAATGAAACCCGAACTGCTAAAATTCCATTTTCATATCGACACACACGTAAAATTTGCACTTTGATTGCACGTGAACTAGTGAGTGTTGTTTGATGCCGCTATCGGTATTCCAGCTTTCTCCTGGCATGCTAGTGGTTTACAGCATTGATACATAGCGTCAAAGAAGAACAACGTCACAGTAGAACGTTCAGTGTCTCTGTTTTGTGCTACTGGCTTTATTTATTCATTTCTTCATATATTTTAATTCAGGAAACAACTGTAAATATAAGGACGTGGTCATCAAGTCGGGGGATACGTACCATCCTGACACCAACACCGTGTGCAGCTGTTCTACTGACTTCTCGTATCTGTTCGGCCCACATGGACACGAAGCATTGTGTGTGCATAAGTTAACTGGCTTCACTGGCTCCGTGTAGTTACATTCATCTTACTGTCTTAGAACCGTACCACATCGATGGTTAAATAGAAAGTGTGTGTTACATCAACTAACTACTTGCTATTATATTCTTAATAATTCGCTGCGTACTGCTATATTGTTTGTTCTCTCTCATCATTATTCTTGTTCAATGGCGGAGGTCTGTGACCAGTCGACTCTGGACGAGACGAGCCAAGACGAGGCCAGACGAGACCAGACCAGAAAGCGCTTTGAGCGTGCTTAGATGTGTACAAAAGCACTATACAAGTGGAACTGTTATTAGCATTATTACCAGACCAGACCAGACCAGACCAGACAGACCAGACCAGACCAGACCAGACCAGCCCGACCTGACCTCCCTTGATCTGACCTGACCTCCCCTGACCTGACCTGACCTGACCTGACCTGACCTCACCTCCGCAACGATCCACGCAAAAGAGATTCGTAGGCACGAACGCCCAACTGATCAGTCATGGGTAGCTGAATGATTATTGAAACTCATCATTTATTCCAAAATACTTTATCAGAGCGATACAAATGTATTTTTATTCACATGGCGGTGCATTCTGCATTCAAGCCATGGATCCCGATTCCCAGGCTGAAAGGACTGTTGTTGCATCGACACGAGGTCGTCGGGTCAGGGTTATACACCTCGCCCATCTTGATGATGACGTCACCGTGCTTGCAGTTCCAGCCTGGAAGTCAAAATATCAACAAGTGAAGCATCTTATTGAATGTCCCAGTGTTACACAATTGTTTACTCAACAGTCGAACTGCCATGATGATTGATTGTTGTTTAACGCCGCACTCAGCAATATTCCAGCTATATGGCTGTGGTCTGTAAATAACCGAGTCTGGACCAGACAATCCAATGATCAACACCATGAGCATCCAGCTACGCAATTGAGATACGATGCCCTGTGTGAACCAGGTCAGCGAGCCTGATCACCCGATGCCGTTAGTCGCCTTTAACGACAAGCATGGACAAGCATGGACAAGCATGGATAAGCATGGACAAGCATGAACAAGCATGGAGAAGCAAAGACAAGCATGGACAAGCATGCAAAGACAAGCATGGACAAGCATGGACAAGCATGGACAAGCATGGAGAAGCATGGACAAGCATGGACAAGCATGGAGAAGCATGGACAAGCATGGACAAGCATGGAGAAGCAAAGACAAGCATGGACAAGCATGGAGAAGCAAAGACAAGCATGGACAAGCATGGAGAAGCAAAGACAAGCATGGACAAGCATGGAGAAGCAAAGACAAGCATGGACAAGCATGGAGAAGCAAAGACAAGCATGGACAAGCATGGACTTCACGGGTCCCAAGTATTATATGGAAGGGGGACTAATAATAATCATAATGACAACAGCTGTAACACTTTTGAAACACTATATATACCCATAATATAGTCACAAAAATTGCACAATCGACTCTGATTTTAGGAGAGACTTCTTATGGATGGGGAAAGGGTTTTGTTGTTTCTACTACCGTGCGCCTCTGTTGTATATCCAGTGATATTATTAAGCGCTTGCTATTTTTTCGAATTTGGCCTGTGATTGTTACAATGTGTCTTCCATCTCTGCTTACGTTTATCTTTTGTGAACCTTTACTTGTATAATTGCTTACATGATATCTTCCAGAGTACTAGATAAAAACTCCATTTTCCCAGCCTGAGCAAACGCCATAATAACAACTCCTCTTGAATATATAAATAATGTACATAAAACAGTACCTAATATTTTCACACTCACGTTCTTGTCTTCAGGCTCTTAGTAATATATCATGTTAACATCCATTTTAAATCGAAATAATGGAATTATAATGATCTCTGCTACTGGCCAATACGACATCATCCTCTGTTGGTTACCTGGCCATGTTGGAACATGTTGGTTACACAACATCTGATTCTGCTGCTGAGGCAGAACTCGCCAGTGTGCTGTGACACCACGTTTGATGCCATGCACCGATTATAAGATGATAGATGTTATCAGAGATCTAATGCAAAATAAGGGTGACACCCAAGCAGGTATCAATAACTTACGTAAATTTATGCAAACTATCGTTAACACCTGTTTGAGTTGTCAGATTTGCATGGGTCATCCTGTGACGATGTCGTGTTGATCACAGTAGTGAGTATGGTTTTACGCCGCTTTTAGCAATATTTCAGCAATATCACGGCGGGAGACACCAGAAATGGGCTGCACACTTTGTACACATGTGGGGAATCGAACCCGGGTCTTCAGTGTGACGAGCGAACGCTCTCGCCACACAGCTACCCCACCGCCCATGTTGGCCACAGCAGATATATATAAATAGAAGAAGCATTCATCGAAAGTTTTGTGTCCCTTGTGATGAAAGAGTCACGGTCATGTCGTGCTTGTCCTAGATTTTCCATCACAAGGGATTACAATTTCACAGTTCCATCCTTCAAAGGATCTCTTAAGGTATGTTATCATTTAAATCTTAGTTTCTTAAAAGAAATCGTTTTAATTGATAAATTTGGATAATATGTGTTGCAATTAGTTTTACGCCGCTTTTAGCAATATTCCAGCAATATCACGACAGGAGGCACCAGAAATGGGGTTCACACTTTGTGACCGGGGAATCGAACCCGGATTTTCGGTGTGACGAGCGAACGTGTTAACCAATAGGCTACCCCACCGCCCCTGGTAGGATGAATAAATAGCTGAATTTGATAATAGCCACACCTTCAAATGGTGTTGAAATAAAGGAAACTATTTCCCCAGAGAAGATACGTATGTCCCATTTCATTCAAAGCATTTTTCATCCTCCGTGGTTTTAATCGTAGAATATAAAAAATTATGTGCTTTTAATGTTTGGCTAATTTTCTGAATAATCGCCAACAACTAAAGGAATGATGTACATCCAGCTAGGGTCCATGGACAGTACTGTAAGTCCCCATGGTGCATAGTATGGTGATCTACTTTCAGTTGTTGGCGATCTATAGCCCGTTTTATACTGTATTACCCTGAATAGCGATAAAATGTAATAACTTACATGCTAGTTTTAAATCTATATCTGTGATATTCTAATTGTTTTACTGTCATTTGTTGACTGATTTTACAATCAAACAATATCTATTATCCACGTGTGACTTGTGCTAGTCACGGATGTCTGAAATATGTGATTCTAAATCTGAACTCGCTCACTCTTACATATCATGCTCATACCATTAGTCATACTGCTGCCTACATATTTGCTTATGCAATCCTATTTGCGAAGGCTATTGGTATGTTGAGATTAACGAACCATTTGGACAGGTTGAACAGCACTGGTCTGGTTGTTTGACAGCGTCTACACACAAAGCAAGTACGCAGTCCACGTATACACAGGCAGCTCGACCGGAAGCTCCACAGAAACACCTCTCGCATGGAGTTGGTTTGAAATGCTCGCCAAGCTTGTAGTATTTGCCATGGCGTTCGCATGTGGTAGGAGTCGTTGTGAGGGTGACTGGAGTGGTGTTGATGACAGCTGCCAGGGCTGAACTCACCAAGCAGAGGAGGAGGATACCTATCATCTTTGGCTTGGGGCAGCAGGCTAGAAAGGTCGATCAACTGTTGGAATGGTTGTTTCGTTGTGAAAATCGTTATCTGTCTTTCAAGGTATAGGTCACCTGATTTGGCATGTAAAGTATGTTTGATGAACACGTGACATTTAAGGCTGGTCACTTCCAATCAGATTTCCAGTGGCACCTATTGAAGTTACAGATAAGTGTAACTGATTGATATGTGTTCGCGATTAAAATCTATATTATATCCGAATATATAACAAGTATATAACTCGATCTAGACACTTTTTAATTTGGATGTCACCACTTCCTTCGCGAGACGTTAGTACTTACGGTGACAAACAACATTTCATACCTTTCGAATGGTCTCGTGGTTGTCAGTTGACAGTAAGGAACCGATAATCCTGCCGGAATAACACATTTCTGATCTAACCATCCCCAAATTAGCCAACTATTACGACTGTCAACAGCTGTGACAGCCAGGCATGGTTGTTCACTTGGTCCGGTCTAGTAAAGTTATATTTGGCGGTCGCGCAATTTGGAACCAGAACTGGTTCTTGAATATACCCTTGTCACCGGAAATATGGTACTGGAGGTAAGCTGGGCTCCGTCTCGCACATCGCAAGTTTGCGCGCACAAAGGGGGCCGGTTACAAGCTTAGTGCCGGAAGTAGCGCCTCGCTAGACTAATGGAGGTACATGGCTTTAACAAGGAACCATTGTATCCCAGTTGATGCTTAAAGGCCTACCCAGACTGTCACGAAAAATGCATCACCAATATTGAAAATGCTGGGTTCCGCAGGTTCAACTTTTGAACTTACATTATGACCCGGGACATATTGTGATTGTAATGACACTCCAAATCCCAGGAATCATTATTGTAATGGCGACTCCTACAGTCTCACAGATCTCCGAAACTTTTTCTTCGTCCCCACCCTCATGTAATGCTTTGAACCTTAGAAAGTCTTGTCATTTTTAAAGGAGATCTTTCTTCGTATAAATATAAGATATTTTCGAAAATGTTATTCTATGTTCGAACATGTATATCCCACTAAGGGATTCGATATGATTAACGAATGAAGACTCATCACAGAGACAATAGTGCTCAGTGTGACGCTAAACAAACAAGCAAACAAACAAAACAAACAAACAAACAAACTGAAAATAGAAATCATTTTGTTTGAGCATGCAACGTTTTGTGCAGTAGGAAACGTTGGGAAACGTTGGCATATGTGTGAGTAAAAGAAATGACCAGTGACAATGCAGCGATTCATCTTACTAACGGCGTTGAATGTATATTGTAATGGGCATTGGGGTTGCGTTCATTTGGTTTGATTATGCACTGGCATTCCGTTCCGTAGCCTTGCCTAAGATCCGGGTTATAATTGGTCTTCAGCAACCCGCTTGTCGTAATAGACGACTAACGGGATCGGGTGGTCAGACTCGCTGACTTGGTTGACCCACGTTATCATATCCCAATGGCGTAGATCGATGCTCCTTCTACTAGGGATTGTTAGACTCAGTATAGCAGTGTAACGAATAATGCTGAGCCTAAGTTTACTTAGACTGCCAACTGTGCCAGAAATAGCTGAATCTACTACTGCTTTGTTTCACCACCCAAGCAAAATATTTGTGTACATAAAACATTCCTAACTTTTGAAACCCAGTTCGAACTACCGTCACTATCATACAGTAAAACCATATTATAAGTCTTCCTAACATCCTTAAAATCTCTGACCTATTACCATTTGAGTTGTGTGTACTAGTACAGGGTATAGGCCGCACTGACCTAACACAGCATATGTAGGTGTCTTTATAGCCAGCTGTACACCCTAATAAGGTGGTAAGGCGTCTACCTATCCCGCTAAAGGTTCGATCCCCGATGGAGACACCTAGGTTTGCGTAGTATGCTTGGACAAGATACTTAGAGCCACATTGTCTCAGTTCACCCGTTCGATGTGCTGGCAATGTGAGTGTTTACAGCTTGTTCAGTTTGACCTGATCAAGTGAATATTAATGATATGCGTGACCGTGTCACAACTGGTTGGGTCTATTATCGTGAAGGGGTGCACCTTTATCAGATGATTGGTGTAAACGATCGAGTGGACTGATTGCTGTGCCCATGTTGTAAATTGGGACAGAAATATTGCAGTTGAGCATGAAATAGAAAAAATGGTAACTGAACTGGGTGTAGAGAGTGATAGCGAGAGTGAATCGGATTGTGAAAGTAACTGAAGTCCGTAAGTTTTAAAGTTATCAAACCAAACTAACTCATATGACTGTATAAACAATTCAATTAAAAAATGACATGATTGGGTGTTTTTTTCTGAAGTGTTGTTTTCCGGGACAAGTTCTGTAACAAATCTATGTATGCATGCAACATTAATAACATTCTCTGCACCCCTATTTAATGAAGATAACCCGATCTGCCGTTTGTGCCATTTGACCTCCCGGGTCATGCATATGTAGAGTAGCTCAGGTCAATCTGAACAAGCTGTAGTTCATTGCTCCTAACAGGCAGCATGGGCCAGGGAGTTGAAACAGTATCATAGTGTCCTATGACCGGGGATAGTAATGTACGTAGCGCCTTGACCAGACAATGTGCCTGGGTATGAGTGCCATATAAGCGGACTATTTCTGTTAGTTTATTAGTTTATTACAGTGTCATGTGTTACATGGTATAAAACATTTAGTCCAGATATACAATACAAACACCGGGTCTCACGGGGCCGAAATGACAACTTAAAATGTTGCAGATTAAACATTCAGTTACTATTACTGTAGAAATTTTGCATGCAGTTATTTTTCTATAGTTCCAAATTGTTTAAAAACCCATACTTGACAGCCATAAACACAAGAATCTTTCACGGAAATATGTTAGTTTCGCAAATTTCGAAAAAGATTTTGCTGTAGATCGTTATCGTTGCTAAGGACACTACAATTCCTTGCGCAACACCAGGAACAACGAGACATCAATTTTCAAAGTCAGACACCAGGCCATCCAATCTGTAATGGATGGTTGAATAAGTATTGAAATTCATCAGTCATTCCTACAAACCATAACCAATTGCTACAAACACATATTTATTCAGATTGAGGTGCAAGTTGCCTTTAATTCAAGGCTGCCGAAGCCGAGGTAGGGGCTACCGAAGTTACACTGACACGCAGTCGCTTTGTCTGGGTGATACACCTCGCCCATCTTGATGATGACGTCACCGTGTTTGCAGTTCAAGCCTGGAAGACAAAACATGGCGAACGTGTGAAGCAGATTCATTAAAGATTGATTACGCCAGTAATACGACATTTGTACATTTGCTTAACTAACCGTATTGTAAGTTTGGAAGATATAGTGATGTGCTTTTGTAACACTTTATGGAGCAAGGGGTACGTCGTATATTGCTTGCACTTATTTATACAAGATTCATGTTAATAGGGTTACCATTCATCTCACAAAGGGACAGATTCATTACAAGGATATTCCACTTCACATGCTTACACAATTGATTACATCTCAACTTAGTTGAGGGTTACCTCTTTCCCGTACTGGCTCCCGAACAGGTATCGCTGCATAACCGTTATCGCCAATACATCAGTATCACACGTGCGCACTTCCGGTCAATTCCAATTCCGGTATTAAATACCACGGTATTTGACAACAATAAAGGACAGCAAAAGATAATTCTTCGCGGTCAGTAACAGAAAAGAGCAAAATTGAAGATAAGGTTATGAGCCCTACAACAAATTTTGAACTTAGTCACAGGATCTATATAGTAGCAAGTTTAAGTTCACAAAAGTCGTTAACTGTTTCATTCCCTATCAATGTACTGTAAACACACACTCAACTAGTCACACAGTCAATTATTCGATTTTACTTTATAATATAAATATATATTATTTCTCGAATGACCTGAAAAATTCTGAAATGGCGATAACTGTTACAGATAGTTGTGATAAAACTCCTATTTGTACTGCCATGATTCCCTTCCGCCGCGTTATATATTATAAAAACATGATCGGCGGCAGTAAACGGGCTGAACACATCGGTGAATAGCTAATTAAGTACTATCATTATTAATTGCATTTCATTAATGTAACGAACGGCGCAGTAATTTTGTAAATACCGCTAAAATATTGCGATAACTGTTCGGCAGCCAGTACCATTACTGCTATGTGTCAGTCGTATTCTTTGTACAACAATTGAGATCATTCGTACCCTGGATACTCAGCCTTGGCCTATTTTACACAAAACTGGACCATTGTTGCCGTGAGGCGAAATTATCATCTCTGTCGTTGCTGCTATAGTTGCTGCTTTCGACATTATACTGCCTCTCTGTTTTGTACTACCACTCTGAAATTTGGCAGTGATCTGTACCGAAGTTTAAACTTAGTTTATTTTAGAATACAATTGTACATCACATCTGTCTGTTGTATGTTGGTGTCACATCGCGCTCTTTACAGATTTCTCGGCTAACGTAACATTACTGACGTCTCTGCTAACATGGCTGACACATAATTGATGATGGAAGATGGCTTCCATCTCTGCTTACATTGCCATTCTACATCTTTGCTTATGACACCGCTTACATTGAGATTACTTACATGATCGTTTACATGGCTACTGACATCTCCACTTAAACGGTTGGTTACATCATTGCTTATATCATTGCTTACATCTCACCATTTGGACATGTTGAACAACACTGGTTTGGTGAT